AAATTTTAATATTATTTATTGATCTAGTTTTGTGGATTTATTACCTCTGACATATACAACACAAAACAGTGCTCAGTTGAACCTTTATATAGCTGCTATTATTTGAAATTTATACACACTTTTTATGAGAATGGGAAGAATGATAATAACTGGTAGTCAAGATGGAGAAAGCTCATTTCTATTTTTGAGCTAGTTTAATGGGTTGATAGTTTATAATTTACTTAACATGCTTGCGTACTACTTTTGATTTCAGAAGTAAATGGCTGTACAAAAAAAGACCAGACTTACTAATCTGACAGAGACTGGAGAAACCCTGACAGTATGGCCCCCGGACACCCTTTTAACTCAGTGCTGAAGTCACTCCTGAAGTTCACCCTTCAGCCAAAGATTAGACAGGCCCATAAAACAAAATGAGACTAAACGGGCACACCATTCCAGGGACAAGGACAAGAAGGCAGGAGGGGACAGGAAAGCTGGTAATGGCGAATCCAAGGTTGAGAAGGGGAGAGTGTTGACACGTTGTTCGGTTGGCAACTAAATGAATAATTTCTTTTATAAGAATTAGCACAAAGCTGGTTCCTATGAGGCGCAGGTTAAAGATGCCCCAAATGTCTAACTTTTCCAAGCTGCTGTACCACTCCATTGTCTCTAATATCAACTAGTCCCTCTCCCCTCAGTACTCTCCCTCCTGTCTTTGGGTTCCCTAATTTCTTGCAACATCTCACAGAACTCATGGATCAAGTAAAGGAAATGGTTCACGAGGTTTTAGAGGCTGGCAAGTCCCAGATTCGTCAGTCAGGTGTAGACTTCTCTCTGGCCCTTGGTTTCTGCCCAAAGGCACTCAGCTTTCTTGCTCTGTGTGCTGGGAAGCCCACTGCGCCATCTCCTGTGGGTCTCTGCTGCCAATTTCTGCGGCAGGTCTCTCTTTCTTTGGTGGTGGTAGGCTCTCCTCTTTGCTCTGGAATTGGCTGTCCTTTAAAGCAAAACTGACCAATCCCCTTGGTAGGCCACAATTACCCTGTCACACAGTCGCCTGGGTGGGACTTACAAGACCATGGGTATAAAGGCCACACACAAAAGTAATTAATGCACCACAGCAGCTAATGTCACAAAACAATATGTGTATTAATTATTCAATGAGAAACTAATTTGCTCTGTAAACCTTCATCTAAAGCACAATTAAAAAAAAAAGAAAGAAAGAAAACTGCCAGAACTAATAGAAGAATTTAGTAACATTGCAGGGTACAAAATCAACACACAAAAATCAGTTGGGTTCCTCTACACTAGCAAAAGACTACTCTGGAAAAGAAATCAAGAAAACAATACCATTTACAATAGCCCCCAAATGGATACAATACCTGGGAGAAACCTGACCAGGGACATAAAAGACTTGTACAATGAAAATTATAAAACACTTCTAAAAGAGACCTACAAAAATGGAAATACATGCCATGTTCATGGATAGGAAGACTTAAGATAATGAAAATGTCAATTCATCTAAAGCAATTTTTAGATACAATGCACCGTTGATACAAGTCCCAGCAACAATCTTTACTGAAATGGAAAAACTAATGACCAACTTCATATGGAAAGGAAAGAAACCCTGAATAGACAAAGTAATACTGAAGAAAACGAACAAAACAGGAGGCCTCACACTCCCCAATATTAAAACATGCTATACAGCTACAGTTAAAAAAACAAAACAAAACAAACAAACAAACAAAAAAACGCCTTGTATTGGTTCAATGATAAACACATAGACAAATGGAATGGAAATGAGAACTCAGAATTAAACCCATCCATCTATGGACAACTGATTTTCGACAAGGGGTCCAATGAGAAGATAAGGGGCAGGGAAACTAGAGTACTGGAAATGGAAAAAACAGAACACAGTTAAAGAGAATGTTGACATATTGTGATAAATGTAACAAACGTCATTGAACAATTTGTGAGGAAATTGTCAAATGGGAGCCTAACTTGCTGTGTAAACTTTCACTAAAAATTCAATAAAATATCTCTTAAAAAAAAAAAAAAAGTAAGTGGCTGTGTTTTCATTCATGGGCCTTGCCATATGCCAACAGCAGTAAAAGTTACTCTTCTTTTTTGTCATCACATAGGGCACAATTCCTGAGAAGAGAGGAAACTACAAACTATTTCCTAGGCAAATAAAGAGTCCCTTGTATACCTCATTGTCATGGATTAAATTGTGTCCCCCAACAATGTGTGTCAACTTGGCTAGGCCATGATTCCCAGTATTGTGTGTTTGTCCACCATTTTGTCATCTGATATGATTATTCTATGTGTTGTAAATCCTACCTCTATGATGTTAATGAGGCAGGATTAGAGGCAGTTATGTTAATGAGACAGGACTCAATCTACAAGATTAGGTTGTGTCTTAAATCAATCTCTTTTGAGATTTTTATAAAAGAGATTGAGCAGAGAGACAGGGGGGTCTCCTACTACCAAGAAAGCAGGGCCAGGAGCAGAGCTCGTCCTTTGGACCTGAGGTCTCTGTGCCTGAGAAGCTCCTAGACCAGGGGAAGATTGATGACAAGGACATTCCCCCAGAACCAACAGAGAAAGCATTCCCCTGGAGCTGGCACCCTAAATTCCAACTTCTAGCCTACTAGACTGTGAGGGAATAAATTTTGTTTTGTTAAAGCCATCCACTGGTGATGCTTCTGTTGTAGCAACACTAGATAACTAAGACACTCATCAATTAAAAACCTAGTCTCAAAGTGATACTCATGAAGAGTGTGCCTCTTAGCTCAAGTACATACAAGAGACCAAAGGGGCAGCTTCTGTCCGGAGATGAGATGGGAAGGCAGAGAGGGTTAGGAGCTGGTTGAATGGGCATGAGGAATCAGGGGTGGAAAAGAGGCGTGTGCTGTCACAGTATGGGGTGAGCAATTAGGGTCACATAACAATGTATGTATAAATTTTTGTATGGGAGACTAACTTGAAATGTAAGCTTCATTTAAACTACAACAATAAAAAAAGAAGTTTAAAAAAAAAATGTAGGATCACAGTTTCTAGCCAGTCTGAAAAGGCTAGGCTTTCAATGATTTTGCCCATTTGTAATGTTAATACATACTGATGATTCTGTAATTGTCTTTGGACTCGAGCAGACATGGCTGTGGCAGCATACTTGTCCATTTTCCCACTCTTGCCTATTCTGTAACATTCTTTTGGACTCAGGCAGACATGGCTCTAGCAGCACGGCCGCCTGTTTTCCCACTTTCGTCTGTTCTGTGATATTTCCTTGGACTTGGGCAGACATGGCTCTGGCAGCATGGTTGTCCACTTCCCACTTCTGTCCTTTTGAATATACACCAAATAAAACTTTGTTTTTGCTTTACTAAAAAATAAAAAATAAAAAAACCTAGTCTCACAGAACTTAATTCGGTTCTTCAGAGAAAATAATCTCAACAAATTTTAAGTGTTAGGCATGTCAATATACTTTGAATTTTTTAACTGAATAAAAATAACTATCAATTATTGAGCATTTGTTATGTGTCAAGCAGCATGCTAAGGAACTTAAAGGATACTTCAGATCAGAAAGCTTCTTGTTTATTTTCTTTATTATAACTGAGGTACGCTAATTAATCCTGAGAGTTGACAAATAGTGAGTGATTTTGGACCCTGGGCTAGGTGTATAATAAACAGAAAACAAATGGTGGACATTTAATATTGATTTTTTGGTTGAATTTTGCGTTATTCCTTCCATTCATATATTTAAGCTTTCTTGCTATTATATAATATTGCTTAGATAAAGTAGGTTTTCAGCATTCTGGATCTAGTATTCAGAATATTGCAAAGCTTTCTGAGGTGCATCCTTCTTATTTCCCCATTTCTGGGTGTCCTAAAGCCTTGAATCTGAAAAACATAGGAAATACAGGTATTACATAGTCCATGTGAATAATGGAATAAATCATCCCACGTCTATGATTTATTCTTTTCAAAATGCTTCCTTCTGAGACCTATGTACTCATTCCACTGTTGGAACATGCATGAAACTCTCTTTTTGACAATACATTTGCATGAATTGTTTTGTGAAATCATCTGGCTTTGAGATTATCAAATCACTTTTACTTCAAGGTGCTTTTCATTTGATGAAAAGTCATAGGTCCCAGGTGTTAAGGTTGTGAGTATGAAAGTTTAGTGATGGCGATAGTTTTCATCCATCCTACGTTGTGAAATTACAAGTGGAAGGCACGAGTTGCATCTTGTTCAAAATGGGACATATCCAAGGAAAGATACCATGCTATGACAATGTAGTTAAGTTTACTATGCGTAGGAGAACAGTAGCACCTCAAGACTCAGTATGATAATTAGGTACGGCTGTCTTAATAAGCCTGCCAGTGATATTTTTACTCTTTTCCAACAATATAGTGTACACACAAGCACACCTGAATGGGTTTATATACACAACATATATACATACCTACTTATGCTTTTATATATGTGCTTATCTATATACGTATGATTTAGAAATATATACTGCTATTATCTGTCAATATTCAGTGTTTATGTAAGAATCTAGTATCTATGTATGTGTATGCACACACGCACGGTGTCATTTCAAGATAAATTATGTTATACCTCTACCTTTTGAAATATAGTATTTGTACAATACAGTATATGCTTTTCTAACATATGTAATATATTACATTAAGTTTGAAATAATTAAAAATTTTCATAGGTTGGAAACTTGAGAATTTCATTTATTTTAAGGAGTAGACTTAAATATGTCCGATCTAAAATTCTAAGCTGTTATTCTCAAATGTCACATTGTAGTTCTAGAGCAAACAATTACATTTTAATAGACTTTTCATATGAGAACTGCAACGTTTTAGTTAAAAAATTTTTTTAAAGACGTGAAATATCTCTGATCTTAAGCTAACAAGTTTTATGAACATCCCATAATGACCACTTCTTCCTTCAGATAATGCTTTTTGACATCGTGGAATGATTATAAATTTAATTATCACCTGTTTTAGGCTAAGATGACTCAACTGCCTGAGGCGGAAAAGGAAAAGATTGCTGAGCAAGTTGCTGATTTCAAGAAAGTCAAGAGTAAGCTGGATGCTGAGATTGAGATCTGGGATGACACCAGCAATGATATCATTGTGTTGGCCAAGAAGATGTGTATGATTATGATGGAGATGACAGACTTCACAAGGTAATTATGTGGAAAAGGATGTGTAACATGGATAACAGTTAGAAACATTTGTTACCTTAGTGAAGCTTTAGCTTTCTCTGAGTGACAGGTGCCAAAAATCAAGTTGTAGGAGGAATAATATAAATTAGAATATAGAATTATAAAGTGGTAGGTGTGTACTTCTAGAAGTTTTGCTAAATGAATACGGCAGAGTTCCTCAAAACTAAACAAGCAATGATTTTGAAATACCAGTTTACGCCCTCTCACCCTCAATTTCTTCAGGAATCTTCTCTGTTTATCATATTAGCGTATTACTTAAAAAAAGGGTACAGCAAGTTATACACTCTATTGTAGCTATAATAATGGTTGATCTCTATGTCCTCAGAATTTTGGTTAATCTGTAGTATCATCAGGATTAGTGTTATCTTTAGCTTCTGAGATAGCGATTAGATGTGTTTGAAATTACAATGACTTATTGATATATGTGAAGGATTCATACATTGTGTGTATATTCCAGAAATAATAAAAAATTTTGTTATAGATTCAAAATATTATTGTTCAAAACTGGCCAAATAGCAGTAAAAAATACAGTGCTTGACCTACCAGTTACTAAAATATACAAAACTATAATAATTTAAATAATTTATTCTTGATGTAGTTTAAAAAGCCACAAAATAGAATACCCATGAAGCAAACCTGGTACATTTAGGAAACCATTCATTTATATAACCATACATTTTTCACAAAAATAACTTCCAGATGGAGTGAAAGATTAAATGTAATTTTTTAAATAATATTTTATTGTGTTTTTTATGTAAGTTTACACATCAAATTAGATTCTCATTTAACAATTTTTATTCAAATTATTCAGTGATATTGGTTACTTTTCTCACAATGTGTCAATGTTCTCATTATTTCACTTCTGGTTGTTCTGTTTCCAGTAATCTACTTTCCATGCCCCCTTACCTTCTCATCTTTGCTTTAAAGTAATTGTTAACTGTTTAGTCTCATACAGATGATTTTTAAAGGAGCACAGTACTTGAGTTATATTCTTTATTTTATGAGCCAATCTGTTATTTAGCTGAAAGATGACCTCAGAGGATAGTTTTGATTCAAGTTTTAATGAGTATCTCAGGTAATTGTCTTGGGGTATTCTCCAGTCTCAGTGGGTAGAGTAAGTCTGGACTTTTTAAGAATTTGAGTTCTGTTCCAGTTTCCTCCCATTCTACCAGGATCCATCTATTGTGGCCCTGGTCAGAATAGTGAGTAGTGGTAGCCAGGCACTATCTAATTTTTCTTGTCTTGGGGTAGATGAGGCCATGGCTCATTTGGACTATTAGTCCTGTAAACTAGTTTCTTTTCTGAGTTCTTGGTTTCCCCTTTTTCTTTTGATCTGGACCAGTAGAGATCAATAGTTGTATCTTAGATGGCTGCTTACAAGCTTTTAAAACCCCAGGCGTTTTTCACCAAAAACGGATGTAGAACATAAACTTTGTAAAGTATATTACGCCAGTTCACTGAGTTGTCCCACGAGACTATGGTCTTAAGCCTTCAAATCCAGAAAACCAACCCCATGAGGTGTTTGGTTATGTCTAAGAACTATCTGTAACTGTGCCTGTTATGTGTTTTATTACATATCTGAATATATATGCAAGCACACACATACATATATATACATACACATATAGCTATGTCTATATACGTACACATATATACCCACATATACATATCTATGAATTAGCCCTGGTGGCACAGTGGTTAAGCACTCAACTGCTAACCAGAAGGTAGGCAGTTCAGACTCACTAGCCGCTGCTTGGGAGAAAGATGTGTCAGTCTGCTTCCGTAAAGATTTATAGCCTTGGAAACACTATGGGGCAGTTCTACTCAGAATCAGCTTGAAGGAAATGGTTTAGTTTAGTTTGGTATACATACCTATACACATATATGCATACATACATACATATGTAACCACGCATATATTTTTTGGTTGTTGCTGCTGTTGCAAAATTATATATGTCATAGCATTTACTAAAAAACGCCCTTTTTTCTTGTGTACTTCTTAGTGACATAATTTACTTTGATCAGGCTGTGCACACTTCACCCACATTTGGGTTATCTTTTCCATCACCAGAAATAACAAGGGTCTACTATCTAGAGGGAGTCCTGATGGTGCAGTGATTAAGAGCTACAGCTGCTAACCAAAAGGTTGGCAGTTCCAATCCACCAGCCGCTCCTTGGAAACCCTATAGGGGCAGTTCTACTCTGTCCTAGAGGGTCTCTGAGTCAGAATCAACTCAAAGGCAATGGGTATGCCTGTGGTTTTAATCCCATTTGGGAATAGGTTGAGTTTGTTATGTTAATGAAATAGGATTAGTGTAGGGTGTATTTTGAGTCCATCTCTTTTGAGATAAAAGAGATTAAACACAAACTAGCAAGTAGAGATGGGGAAAGAGTGATGCCAAGCCACATGTAGATCACCCAGGAACAGAAGCTCAAAGAGACAAGGACCTTCCTTCAGAGCCGACAGAGAGAGAAAACCTTTCCCTAGAGCCGGCACCCTGAATTCAGACTTCTACCCTCCTAAACTGTAAAAAAATACATTTCTGTTGGTTAATACCATTTGTGGTATTTCTGTCATAGCAGTACTAGATAACTAAGACAGAGGTGTTTGGGCATTTATATGGTGTGATGGGTATGATTGTATGTCAACTTGGCTGGGCCATGATTCTCAGTGGTTTGGCAGTCATATGATGTTGTGATTACTTCCTTGTTGAGATTTTATATAATGTGATCATTACCATGATGGAATCTGCTATGAGTAGCCAGTCAGTTAAAAGGGAGTTTCCTTGGGTGTGAGGCCTGCATCGAATATAAGTGGACATTCTGAGAAGGCTCCTGGGCTTTTGCTTACTCTGGATCCTGCAGCTGGCCCCTGTTCATCTAACTGCTGGACTTAAGCTAGCAGCTTACCTGTGGTCTTGTCTGCTGATCTTGGGATTCATTGATCTTCGCAGCATGTGAGCAATAGCCCAGCTCCCTGACCTGCCGATCTTGGGTTCGCCAGCCCCCATGGCTACATGAATCAGGAGAAACATTAAGCCTGACCCATGGACTCGGGACATTCATTCTCTACAACTGAATGAGCCATTTATTTCCTTTATATAAATGTCTCTGTATATTTATACACTTTTCTGGTTTTGCTTCTCTAGAGAACCCAGACTAAGACATTTGGTACCGAGACTGTTTCTACAATAAACAAAATTGTAAGGATGAATTTTCTAAATTGGTTTTCAAGTCTAGTTAGTCTTAAACGTACTGATGACTCTGCTTCTAGTAGGAAAGAGGGCACTGCTGGTCTATGGGGTGAGGTGGCAATACAAATACACAAAATATCACCACCAATAGATCAGGTATTGGTGAAAGGTGAGACTCTGGATGATTGCATGTGTGATACTTTTCTACAATTTTGTAATAATGAGAAATATAAGGAAGATGGTTGTTTGATTCCATTGTCTCTGGACAATCTGATGATAGAAAGAGATGAGCTCAGGGCTTCAGAGTCAAAGCTCAACTACCACATAAATGATCTCAAAGTTGCTACTTGTGCCCTGAAAGAAAGCCTTATTTCTTGTAGTAATAGCTGATATTGTCAAAAACCAAACCCAGAGTCTGAATTACAATGCCAACTCAATTGCCTATCTTGAGAGGTGTCTGAAGTTAAAGTGAAGGCATCGATTGGGAAGAAATGGGATCCTGAAACTTGGAATAGGGACATATGGGCAGATAATCAGGAAGTTGGAGATACTGAACCTCTAAATTCCATTGAATCACTCCTGCCAACAGAACCAGTCCTCTCATTCCCATCTGAAGAGATTATTCCCTATTTTTATGCTAAACCATCCTCCCCAGTAAAACCATTAGCCTCTCCACCCCCATTTAGTGAAATTAACCCAGTTATGTCTAAAGAGTCTTTTTCTGAATCATTGCCTGGGGCATCACCTGAGACAGATGCTTTGCAAGACAATGCTGAATGCTCTCAAAACACTTCCCCACTACTGATTTTGGCTTCTAGACCTATAACTAGACTTAAGTCCCCCCAGTGATCCCCAAAAGGTAAACTACAAAATGTGACCCAGGAGGAGGTATGCTACACTCCAAAAGAACTATTGACTTTTCTAATATGTACAAACAGAAACCTGGGGAATATGTGTGGGAATGGCTGTTAAGGGTGTGGGATAATGGTACATGGAATATAAAGATGGATCAGTCTGAGTTTATTGATATAGGCCCACTAAGCACAGATTCTTCATTCAGTGTTTCAGCTTGAGAAGTTAGGAAAGGATCTAATAGTTTATTTCATTGGTTTGCTAAAGCATGGACTATGAGGTGGCCTACACCAGATCAAGTTGCAGTACCAGACCTGCCTTGATATACTGTAGAAGAATGTATCCAAAGGCTTAGGGAAATTGGCATGCTAGAGTGGATTTATCAGGTTAGATCCATAGACCAACACAAGGAGTGCCCAAAAGACACACCTTTTACCACAACTGTGAGAAACAAATTGGTGAAGGGAGCCCCAGAATGTTTGAAGACTGCTGTGATTGCTATTTTATGTAAGTCAGATTTGACAGTGGGAAATGCCCTAACTGAATTAAGACACTTAACTACAATGGGACTGATCGGACCCAATGGTAGTAGGGGCCAAGTGACTGCACTCATTCGACAAAGACAAGGTGGGCGTGGTTACAGTAATGGACAGAGGAGTCAAAGCAGTAATCAGAATATTCTGACTCATATGGACTTATGGCATTGGCTACTTAGTCATGGTGTCCCTTGGAGTGAAATAGATAGGAAATCTACTAAATATTTACTTGATCTGTACAAGTGGATGAATTCTAAGTCAAGAGAACAGCAGTCTAACTTGAATCACCAGAATAGAGAATCACGAGCCTTCAATCAATTCCCATACATGAGTGAGTTTAAAGACCTGCGACCTCTGAAATGAAAGGGAGGCCAGGTCC